TTGAGTAAACAACAGGTAACGATATGAGCGAATCAACTAGCCATCAAAATCGATCAGCTGATGCGGCACTTTCTATAGGCGTCATCCAGAGAGTTGATTAGGCGGTCAAAATGTCGCAGAGCGGCTGCGGCGCGTCACGGCCGCGGCAATCACTGGTTCCAGCCTCGCTTAGCCAGTTGGTCCCTAAGATTTACTGTGTATTTCCTATTCTTTTTTTTCGAGGTGAGCTGTGTTATTGTCGCAATAATTAGAGAAATCCCAATCATAATTTACCTCGTGAAGACAAGGAATAACTAGGCTTAAGAAAAACCAAAGCAGTGAAAAATAGGGAGAAAATGACTAAACCAGGCCGGAAACAGCTGAACAGTTCCTTCGTATGCGGCCGCAGCTGCAGCTGCGTCTGCGACCCTTCGCCGACCGCCTAATCAACTGCCCGGATGACGACTGTACCAAATGCCAGAACAACTCGTACGGTTCGCCTACTCAAACACCGGATTATCAGCCTTGTTACTGTCACATATGTGTGGTCATGTGTGTTTGTGTGTTTCTATCATGAGCTGTTTTGTTACTAGTACTGTAGGATGAAACATTTCAGAAACACATTCCCAATCACGTATCAAATTGCACTATGGATAAAGGAAATACTCTAGGGGGTAGAAGTAGAAGGGTGAAAGGTAGAAACAAAACATAATTGAAAAAAAATAAAGAAAACATTTACAACAAGCGCTCTTATTATTATCGAACCAATTATAAATAAAAAATAATATTAGGACACAAGGTCGAGATAAACTCATTGGAGGTAGCTTTTAGAGAGGTTGTTGTAGGACAAATCAAACCGGGGCCATATAGAAGTTCGACAATTCAATAAAAACACATGATTGTGATGATGAATCGACAATACAGTGCATTGCATTCTTATTGGTAGTAATAGATTTTTACGGGGGAAAAAGGATGACTGATGAAGGGTGGGGGGAGAGCGGATTGTAAATTAAATTCAAATTCAAATTCGATAATGGAATTTCATATAAGCTTTTCACGAATTCCGTACTCTAGCGTAACCGGTGTCAGACACTCGACTATTATACAACGTAACGACTATGAAGATTGAGGAGAATGATAATGATAATGACGCTGACAAATGATGAATGATAAAACAAAAAAAAACATGAACAGATAGAGATGAATAGTAAATACCAGACCGATGCGTATTCACTTTCATTTAGTAGTAATACTTGTAAAAATTGGACAAAATGGTCGGTGCGTGTGTTTATATGTGTGCTAAGATGAGGATGACAATTAAAAAGTGGAGGAAAATACATCCATCAAAAGTATGTCCAGAAAAAAACTACGAATCACAAAGAGGGATGAGGTATTAATATATGATTACGACATCGTAGGAAGAGGAGGAAGAGGAAGAGGAGGAGGATGTGAATATGAAAAAAAATTCACAGAAAAAAATGTAATAATAAAAGAAAGAAGATAATGTAATAAAACAAAACAATTTTTCTGTATGTGGGAAATTCATAAGGAAAAAAAAACATTGTGGTCGTGAAAGATGACACACCCTATGAGGAAACATAGCGTCTGTACCTCTACAAGAGGACCTACGCGTAATTGTAATGATCTGAGAAAGAGACACACGAATGCTGGTAAAACGATGACCGAGGGATGAAAACCGGGGGGTGCGATTCGGGAGGATATAAATGTGAATATTACAGGCCAATGAGTTATATCAAAAACTCAAAGCAAATGAAGAGAAAAAAAATAAAACAATTATCATGAAAACAAAAATGGATGACACATGAATTGGATGAATATTAGTTATGTATACGATCTAATGGATGTATGCTCTTTCATCTTGAATCAATCAAGTACAATCAATAAATCGATCAGTGAAGCCATCCCTCTTGCTTTTCACTTGCACTGGCGAGACTATTCGACTTTGAAGAACTCACGAGGTAGTGGTTCTGCCTCGCTTGTATTCACTGTACCCAAGAATAACACACCACACGATGCCGATATTTCACGTAACATACGAAGTGCTGCTGGAAGTTGTTCGTTCAGCTTATGCGCATCATCACCGTACAATGACTCCAAGTATCTGTAACAGTACTGTAGAAATTATGCACCATCGCTGAAGTGGGGTTTAGTTTAGGTCTGAGCTCTGTCAGACAGCATTCACACTTCGCAACGGCAGCGCTTCGATCGCGCTTTCGACGCGATCGATGCAGAGAAGGCATGCGCGTCAAATGCGCCGACGCGGGGCCGAAGCACTTCCGTCGCGGAGTCTGAACGCTGCCTCATCACGCCCAAACTGCTAGTATTCCCGTTTATATGCAGTCCACATCTCAGGGAACCGTGCAAGCCGCCCGTAAGGGAAGACGATCAAGAGATTGTAAGCAGCCGCCGCGTGACGCGCGTATCCTGCGGCCAAGCGCGACACTCTTGATGTGTCCAATCTTGTCCGTACCCTGCGACAAATGAAGGCACATCGTTTCATATCGGCATACTGCATTTCAACGGACGCTGATGAGTGAAACAAGTTTGTCACTGCTTAACTCATAACTGGTGTGAAATTTGCAACAAAAGGCTAGAAGGCTCCACGGATATTACAAGTAAACCTTGGCATCACTCTAATAATAATGATCTTCGCCCAACGGGGCTGGGTGGACTATTGGGAGATCTCCTACGCTTCCTATATCTGAGGACAATAAGAGAAGTGGTGCGTCATCGACGAGAGTCTAGAAAAAGAAGCAAGAACTTGTATGGGGAAGGCAGGGATATACGCACCTGTCTCCGGAACGCCCCTTCTCGCCCTAGATATGACGGCTGCCTCGAGAAGCACATTGGCGTTTATTCAACTACGTTGTGACAGCCTACCAGTATTCTCAAACAATCTTCATGAAAAGATGGCAATCGATAAACTGCTTTCTTCCGCAGGAAGTTCAGAAGGTCACTGTCCGGTCAAGGTTCATTCTACTACATTCTTGTCACAAAAGGCACCCAGTGATTCTTAGAGCTCGAAACAAAGAAGAGCTATTTATCGACTGTCATTGATTTGACGCAAAAGCGCTGCGCCAGGTTAACGAGCTAGGACACCAGGGAGGTCGTTCAGGACGTGGCGCGCTTTTGGAAAACGGTTTTTTTTTGCATTGTGTAGGGGCACGTTCATGGACTACAAACTGACGTTCATTTTCCTAAATGGCTCTTTGAATACCAAAAAAGGAGTGAAGAAGAACTGAATAGAAACCGATTGGTTTAGCCCTCTGGGCTCCAAATCACTTGCAACTTTGACCAGTTGCTGAGCAGAGGGTCCTTATAAAGGCACTATAAAACTCGAGGAGGAAAATAATCGCAAATGGGGTCTTACTTGCGCATGTGATTGAGAGTGAATGGCCCTGAGCAGCTTGGCGGAATGGTTTCTTCAAGCGGTGATCAGCTACAACGATCGGATGGCCTAGTGGATAGCGTGGAGGATTATCAATCGGTCAGTGAGGGTGGGTGTTGGTGGTTCGACTCCCCCTAGGCGTGCGAGTTTTTGCATTTTTTTAAGTTTCGCTATCCTCGCTTCTATAAATGTCTGTGCATGAGTATAACATGGAGATTTGCCATTTGGGCAAATTCTTAACGGTAGTACCCCGTGAGTCCATGTTATACTTCTATTACAATTTTCTCTTACAGTTGATAAAGGCTGCTACTGACACTTGGTTTTTATGTGTAATCAACTGATACGATCATTAACATGGCCCTTAATTTTAGCTGTGGTGCCATTTGTCTTCGATTTGGATCCACATCAATCTCACACTGTATTCATTATGTACACCCATAAAAGGGACGTTTAGCACTACTCTCGCGTTAGCGCCAAAAATAAGTGTCAGAATCGTGATCAGGACCATCGATAACCCCTATAGACGAAGAATCGCTCGAAAAATTTTTTTCGACCTTTCTTTTTTCGACCTTCGTCACGTCATCGCCGCTAGCAAGGTTGAGACTCCGGTCATAATCGAGGACCAAATAGTCGGCCTTAACCGAAGAAGATCGAAAAAAATTTTTTGAGCGATTCTTCGTCTATAGGGGTTATCGATGGTCCTGATCATGATTCTGACACTTATTTCTGGCGTTGACGCGGTTTAACGGCAGAGTAGTGCTAAACGTCCCATTTATGGGTGTACATAATGAATACAGTCCGAGACTGATGTGGATCCAAATCGAAGACAAATGACACCACAGCTAGAATTAAGCACCATGTTAATGATCATATCAGTTACATAAAAACCAATTTTCAGTAGCAGCCTTACTTAATTGTAAGAGAAAAATCTAATAGAAGTATAACATGGACTCACGGGGTACTACCGTTAAGAATTTGCCCATGAATGGCAAATATCCATGTTATACTCATGCACAGACATTTATGAAAGCGAGGATAGCGAAACTAAAAATGCAAAAACTCGCATGCCTAGGGGAGTCGAACCATCAACACCCACCCGCACTGACCGATTGATAATCCTCCACGCTAACCACTAGGCCATCCGCTCATTGCAGCTGCACATCGCTTGAGGAAACCATTCCGCCAAGCCGCTCAGAGCCGTTCATTTTCAATCAGCGCAGGTAAGGCCCCATTTGCGACTATTTTCCTCCTCGAGTCCTATGGTGCCTTCATAAGGACCCTCTACTCAGCACCTTGTCAAAGTTGCAAGTGTACTTTCGAGCCCGGAGGGGCTCGTAACCAGTCGGTTTCTATTCAATTTTCTTCACTCCTTTTTTGGTATTCAAAGAGCCATTTAGGAAAAATGAAACGTCAGTTGCTGAGCCATGAATGTGCCCCTACATAGTGCAAAAAACCGTTGTCAAAAAACGTGCCTGAACGACCTCCCTGGTAAGGGCTGGTTAAACGCAATGCTGCGACAAGAAGTCCTGAACCTCACCCTCAAAATCGACGCGCCACAACCATATGGGCGTGGCTGCATGCTAACGGGGAACTCTTTATTATGGAAAAGTTCTTAGCCAACGAACCTGTTCAAAAGTGCGCAGTACTGCTCGTGATGTCTGGCTATGATCCGACGATCTTCCGGATCGGTGATACAATCCCTCGGCGAGAACAGTACAATTAACATAATCATTGAGATGACCAGCTCGTTTCTTCGAATATCCTCGTGGAATATTTTGAAGAATCTGAAGTATTACATCATCGGATGCGAATTGTGACGGTTGTTTGGCAGTAATGTAATGGACTTACTGTAGGAATCGCATCTTCTGTTCGGTTCGAACGTCGGCATTGAGCTGATCGAACATGTTGATGGATACCTCGCAACTCTCTTTCAGTGTTGGCGTCGTCCATGCACCCGAGCCACTATCAAAACGGCGAACACCACGAACCGTGAGCATTTCGATCATACTGCCTGAAAAGTCAGAGATCCCATAAGATGGTAAATTATTACTATGCACTGACGAGCAACAAGGCAGCGTTCAGACTTCGCGACGGCAGCGCGTCCGTCACGCGATTGGGCGATCGATGCGCATGCTTTTCAGTCATCGATCGCGTAGAACGCGCGACCGCAGCGCTGCCGTCGCGAAGTCTGAACGTTTAAGTACTACCAGGAAACGAAAATGCTCACCCTTTAGCAGCGCAAATTTGCCGTCCTGGCTGAGTTCGTTAAAGGCGGGCAGCTTCTTGGCCATCTTCACAAATCGACGCATTGTAACGTCCATGATGTTCATGATGTCTGCAGGTGATTTTTCGTTCTGGAATTACCAATATAAGTTGTCAATATATTTACCAGTATAAGTTGTCAATATATAAGTTGTCAATCATCATGTTGAAAGTGACATTCATTACTTACCTTCAGAAACGAGAGTTTCTGACGTCCCTGTTCCATTGGGTCATTCATACCTTTGAATGCTTCTTGGATCTGAAATGGAGAGTATCATGATTTAAGGATATTCCAGGTATTATTGGCTGTTGGGGGAGGGGCATTCAAAGGACTCCTCGTACAAAAGTGCCATTGAGCAGGATTACACTGCCAAACTTCGGGAGGAGGCGTCCCTACATGCATTACCGCATACCCCAAAGATGGAAAGGCGTGCCTTACTGTATTCAAACATGACATGGGGTACTGTTTCGTGGGATCCACTTGAAACAATTGTTCTACGGTCCTTTTCTGGATAAAAGCATGGCTATAAGTGTTGCGGAACGAAAATATGCCTTTAAAGGCGCAGTTGCCGCTCTGTTCAAACAAGCACGTTGACACGCCCCTGCATACCCGACCCATAGTGACAGCGACCAATGGAAACGAGCTGCCGCCGCGCCAAAACGCGTACGCAGGAAGGTCCCCACATGACGCACCGGCAGTAAGTGAACCAGCTTTATTTAGTTGATCAGCCACAAAGTTCCTTCCCTTTTCGGCATAAGCAAAAGTTCTCATCTCCATTGTGACAATATTGCGGGAGGCGGGCGGTCGTTGCAAGCGTCATTGGTGGAAGGGTATTTGGCCTCACCCCACTCAGAGTTTCCACCAATGACGTCGGCAACAACCGCCCACTCTGGGAATCGTGCCCTCTGCCTTTAACGTCTCAAGCGTGTTATACTCCCGCAGTTTGACGGCGATTCGGCTAGTTTGCTTTTTCTAATAGATAATCTTAATAGGAGCTTTCACGAATCGATGGGTGTCTTTTTAGCGGTAGTGCTGGAGGACTTGCTAAAGTGTGTTCTATGACTAGTCTTTATGACAAGGCCATGTCAGGGTCCATTAAAAGCTCCCTCCCCAGCGCCAGAAGAACCTCTAATTAGAACACAAACCAAGTCAAGTGCCTGTAGTTCTGCAGAGTTCAGCTGATAGCTTAGCCTTTTATCTGAGGCATTAGCCGACGACGTTCCGGATGATTCACCCTAAATGCGAAAGAATTGAGCGTGGTGCTAACCCTAAGCGATCATTTCAGAACTGAAAAGCAAGCGAGTCTGTACTGAAAACAGAAGCAACGATGAAAGGGTTCCGGAAATCGGAACTAGAAGTCACCTCAAGAGGTTGACCACTGGAACTCGTTGATGTGGTTGATGCGATGCCAGCTGAAGCCGCTGCGGAATGATCCTCTGGGCTGTCGATCTTTAATGCATCCTCGATAGTATTATGGAAAAACATATTCATCTTTTCCAAACTATCCTCATAATTACTGGTTGTGAACGATGGTTTTGGTAAATCGCCACTAGTAGCAGCTCCCAGGTCTGTGTATGTGGGAATACCTGAATGTAACTGTTCATATGCCAATTTTGACGGTACCTTGTAGACTTCACTCCAACCTGGTCGAATCTGTGGAACATTGTGGACAGGTAACATCTGACTGGTAGGTGATTGGAATGGCCGCGGTTGCGGTGCGACCAAATCGGTTGGCGAATAAGCAGCTCTGAAACCGGTGCCTAATATTCGAATCCCTGAGGCTAGTTTTACAAAACTTCTCACCTTTTAGCAAGGGGTTCATCTTCACCTGGACGAGTTGCTCGTTGTACAAGGCTATGGTATTCATCCATCGAGATGATGACCTGCAATGACACATCAAATGAGAAAAATTCAAGCAAACTCCACGTTCCGACTTGATGCCTGGAGAACTATTCCTCCCCGATGGTCCACAGACAACTCGGATTCAATTCCTTCAATCGCGCCGGCTTTCTGTTTTTCTCTGCGCTCTCACCTCTAAATGATATTCCTTGGTTATAGCGACTTTACACATTCGAACTTTTACGCCCGATAAAAAGTTCGCCCACCCTGGAATTCCCTTCCCTGAAAAAGCTCACGCCCTGGCTCGCTCTACCTTTTATGCACCTTTTGATGCTTCGGCAGCCGCACTCCTGCACTTCCCCTGCGCGCTGGGTTCGCGCTAGGATCACCGCAATATTTCGATGTCACGTAGCGATTAGCGTCAAGTCAGAAGGCGGAGTATCAATGATACTGAGCAAGGTCCAAACAGTCGTACTCACTTGACGAGATGGATCAACGACCTTACTGCCAGCCATATTCGGTTGGGGTATTTGTGATCGTAGACGTTGCTGCATCATCATGTTCGACTCATACTGAAACTTTCAGTTCAAAACCGAGAGAGTTCCTTCAAGCCTCCAGGAAAACTTCGAAAAAGAAGTTGACTTACAGCATCTGGACTTCCTTGATTACCAGTCATTAGGCCGAGAGGACGTGATGGAGGTGAGTCGGAAGCGCCCGAGCCAGCAGGACTCATTAATGGGTACTGCAATGAGAAACGTTCACACTACAAGTGTGGCATGACTGAAACTGACTCCCTAGACGTACCTGCCCAGCAGGGCTGACCAATGGCGGTATTCCTCCGCGACCACTGAGCGCACCAAGCTGAAACTAAATGTCCACACTCGGGTAATTAGTGATTATACAGAGTAACTGGTAGCACATAACTCTCTTTAGAAGGTTTATAGCGCTTAGCACACCTTGAATCCCACCATGGAAGCCGTAACTTATAGCCAGGGAAAGTTGGTTACAGGGGAGGAAGGTGGGATAGGGCTTTTTTCAAACAGAAAGTCTCTCGCTGGGAGGGTCAGGGATTTTTTCTATTACATCTATTGGTCGAGCATGTCAATGGAAAAGGAAGATCGGTGAAAGAAAGATGGCGGGTAAAGAAGGAAGGCGGAAGAGAGAAAGAGGTAGAGGGGAGGCTGCGTTCGAAAGTATCCTGAGGCGGGGGATGGAGGGGTAGAGGAAAGCAATCGTCCGGAGAGATTTCCCCCACCGCTGGTTTTCCGCGCTGTGCATACCCCCCCCCCACTGGGAGGCAAAATTACTCTTTTTGAAGTCAAGTGGTGACTACCCTGCTCCCGCTCAACAACAAAATTGCACTTGATAAAATGGTAGGTACATAAGCTCCATATCTCAAAGCCAGGGAGGGCGTGGCCGCATACTCCAGCTGAGCATTGCGGTCGTCGAACTAGTGATGAGATGTTGCCATTTTCTAGTTTGCAATTCTCGTTAATGTCCAGCACGAAACAGGGTGACAGTTGTCACAAGCGGGTACATCCCACGGAAAAGGCATGTGGCGCGTTTGCATGAAGTACGCAGCCACGCCTCCTCCACCTCTGGGATATGGAGTGTAGGCTGAGATTGAAGGGATGGTGCGGCTCGTACAAAGACCTCTTTTGGGACTTTCAGAGGTAGGAGCCGTACTGACACCGCCACTCACTCAAGGGATTTCGAAGAAAATTTGTAACCTGCTACTCCAGGAATTCTTCAACGACCGCAGAACCCGAAAATCCCACCGGAGAACGTGTTCGCAGCAGGGTGGGACTGTTGCAGACTTAGTTCTGTATGGTAGTACTAACCTGGGCATCAACCATTGGTGAAATTGATAATGGTGACGTCATGGCCTTTACGGCTGCGTGCTGTCGGGCGAGTTCCTTCAATGATGAGTTGAATTTTTCAACAACAAAATTTGTCAACGACATGCTAGCGGTGCAAATTTATTGACAGTAGTACTACAATACAAACCTGTTTTTGCCTCTGTTGATTAGCCATATTATTGAGTCGGGAATTTTTTCGTCGTCGTAATTGTTCTTCATTCAAAATCCATTCCTTTTTCATACCCACCTACAAGAAATTTTCTTCAACTTTATCCGAGCGAATTCGTGGTTGAGGGCCCAATGAATCCTGAAACTTACGGCAAAACATTTTCGCAACCGACACTTCTGGCAGAAGCGTCTGCTGACGGCGTTAATTTCGCAGTCTTCAGAATAAGGGCATTTGAATTCCTGAAGAAGACGCGATTGATTTGCCGATTCTCATCGTGGATCGATCTGATCACAAACCTACCTTTGGACGGAGCGCGTTACGACGGAAAAACGCCTTGCATGATTCGCATGTGATAACATTGAAATTGTAACCAGTTGCATGATCACCACATACACGACACGTCTTTTGCCGTCGTCGTGCTTCCTGAAGCAAATAGTAACCATTTTGTAGTAATGTGTATCGATTGAGTAAGGACATTTTGAGGTCAGCACAGGTTTAGTTTAGCCCAGAAGGATGACCTTTTAGAACCAGAGAACGTTCCAGTGCAAGTGAAAGACCGACAAATCAGCCATAACTATGAACAAAGGGCAGAGCACTTTTTCTAGATCTCGTCCAGGCTTTCCTACCGACCAGAAACCAAGCCGCTTCACAGAAAAAAACTTCCTCGTTCTAAGATTGAATGTTCTCTGCTCCTATTTACATATTTCAGCTGTAACAAAAGAAACCGAAGATGAAATGGGCTTTCTCACCCCGTCGCTGTTCGGATCGATGCCGCCGACGTCAGGAGAGGCACAAGCGGCGGCCATACCTTCCTCCATTTTTGCAGGAGTTAATGTGGGGTTAAAACCTGAATCAAGCGCTAAAGATCTTCTTCCAACTTGAGTTGCAGCAGCTCTGCCAATCAACTAACCGTTCATTAATTGACCACCGAGAGATGGCGGTGAGTGTATTACCGGATCGTCCGGCGTGCTCATCTGCGGCTGAAATACAAGTAAATTACAACGAGATGACATTACTCGAGAACTTTTCAGCCATTCCTCACATTTCTTTCATTCACACACGCATTCATGCATACTGTCTCACTATTTGAGTGTACTGCCGAAGAAGCGCGGCTCGGAATGCAACACTGGGCAATGGCCATGAGCTCCGAGACAAATAGAAGGCCGTATCGGCGCGTTCATTAGTCATTCATTGACCTTTTAATTTTTCGTTTCTTCTAGATAACACAGGAAGGTTTCTGACGCGTTAAGCCACTATTTTTAGACTAAAAGAAACACTCGAATCGACTACCTCCGGCTTCGGGCCAAGGAATGTCGCCCAAGGCCTGAGGGGCCATGGAACTAGCTGCATCGGTGCCATTGCTATCCCACGGAAAGACACGGCTGGCAGCTGGTTAGATGAGCATGCGAAAAGAGGATTCATAGTTCTGGAGGTCGAGCTGGACCAATACGATCAAGACGAGACTGAGGATTGAATGCGATCACGTTTGCCGGGGGTTTCCCGAGGAAAAGGGGGCTGAGAACGTGATCGATTGTGAATGATTGCAATGTATAATCGATGCACTGCTAGTGATGTGCTCATGGGCATCAGCAACATTCGCCCGTCCTATCAAGCGTTCAATTTCTCTAACAACAATTGTACCAGTTCTGAACCATAACCCTTTCCCCCATTCCGCTCACGCCCACATCATTCAAAATCGTGGAAAAATACTATTGTCAATGCCATGTTCATATTATATGAATCACACGCGAGGAAACCCGCGCGCCTAAAATTGACAATGAATCGCATATGAAATCATGAAAAATGTATACATCAAATTTCCCGCCAATTTCAATTATTCGTTTAATATTCTGCGACGTGGAAGGGTTTGTACAACAGAAATGGAATGGCGAATGAGACAGCATGGGATTAGCAGGATTTCTATTTTTATACTGCTCAATGGGCGGAGGTGGTGCAATGGCAAATGGTGCATGTGACCATGCGAGCGGTCCGGGGTCAAATTTCGGATTGGCTGCACGGCTACTTGAGCTTCTCGCAATCGGAGAGAACGGTGCGAGAGACTTACTTGGGATCAGGGCACGTCTGGGGGGATTTGTGCATACCCTTTCCCCCCCCCCTCTCCCAAAAAAACTGCTTTTCTGGCGTGACCCCCTTCCCCACCACATTTTGAAGAAATTCGGATTAACGCTGTCTGAACAGAATTTCGTACTTGTAATGGGTTCGCTCGTCGCGGGCTTCTTCCCCTTCAGACATCAGGCACGTCCTGCCGTTATCAAATTCCTCCTCTGGCATGACCCACTTCCCCACCTGGCATCCTATCTGCCATCTTCTTGAATTATCCCGAATAACTACTACTTTTCCGGAACTTCTTACGAGCTCCTCTAGCATGAACGCATTCCCTATCCTGCTTACCATACCATCTCCCAAGAATTTCCCAGTTTCCTTTACCACTTTTCTAAAGCTTTTCCCGAAACTTCCTCCATCCTTTATACCGAAAAAATTTGCCCGTTGAGCGCATGGAGAGGGGCGGGGTACACAGAGCATAAGAAACGGGAAAAAGTACGAAAAGGCAAGAAATGTCAACGATCAAAAATATTCTTCTCAAGGGCAAATACGACCCCTCCTCACCACCCAAATACGACCTTCTCGCTAGGGATCCTCCACATACAGCATGCACTGTCTGGGATAATGAGAACACTTCAGCACCGGTTTAGAAGTAACTGTACAGGACTCATCCACAACGCCACCGCGATTCCAAACGGGAGCAGAGCGCACGGCTCACCGTTAAAGGGCTTGATCTACGCCCAAAGCTTACAGTTGCGCGATAATTCAGTAGTATACCTTACGCTCTGGTCTTCAAAACTTCTGGGCTCTTCGTGCGCAAGGAATCTTAGAAACTTCTGGGGGAAGGCGCACAACTGAGGTAAGAAGAGATATGCGTCCTAGCGCAATGCGCTTTTCTTCACTTAATTTTTCGGGGCGAAGTCGCCGCAGAAGAGGCATTTTTGGAAGTAAATTAAATAGAATAGCATTTGGTTCTATTACTCACCTTGCCATAAAACTTATTAAGCATACTCCAGTTGAGGTAGTTCTGTGAGGAGAGAAGATTGTTAACGTCCACCATAATAGTTAAACTGGTGACAGGGTGACTTTGGCGATAGCGTTGGACGCGACGTTGTCACGACCTTCGCTAGCTGTCTTGATATAAGAATGAAGAAGTGGAAGCGAGCGAGCGAGCGAGAACGAGCGACTTGTTAGTGCTGATCCAAGCTCGTCGGCTTCTTCACCATGCCGACGTCTTCAATCTACCGAAATCGATGTCATGCTACTCGGGATTTAACATACGCACGCGTATAACGATGAATTTGACGACAGTACGAGATGGAAACAACATTCAGTAACAGTAAGTATGTCAAAGTCGAAAAATCTGGGCTCAGGATGAGCTGGAGCTCAAGAATGTGAGGTGAGAGAATATACAAGACTGTGAACTGTCATAGAAGAAAATACTGGAGGCGTTTTCCAAGCGTTACTGGAAAGGGCGGGACGACCAAATAAAACCGAAAAATTCCCATCCCACTTCCCGAGGGCCTAAATGGCCCGGAATTCTTATAGAGCTTCGTCCCTCCCCCCCCCCTTCCAACCCCATGGACGCGTTGTATGCTCTACAGATATGATACCATCACGATCGCATGACTTAGTACAGGCGCCTTATGGTCAGAATTCCTACACGCGCTCACAAAGAACTACTGAGTAACGGTTAGCGATACTTACACGATATAGAGCAAGTGACTGACTTAAGCGAGTTCCCGGCCCGATACCCTAGGGTACGTATACTGGTCGATAGCTGTAGTATAGTAGTAACAGTGTTGACATTCTGTAGAGGTGAGCTAATGAGCACGTACGTCGGAAATACGTCTACATCACTACATGCCATGTGTTACCGTAGCGACGACGACAGTCATTTAACGAGTTGGGATGGCCATTTAGGTTCGCACAAATAAATAACATGTAAGAAATTTGCAGGAAACTTCTTTGTCTTTCTTAGTAAATATCATTTACTAAATGACAATACTCGTTAGAATCCCGTCACCTTGCTGTGAATGCCCGAAGGACTAACCGACACGGAACCGGTGCTCAAAAATTAGCGCTAAACTCCCCTCGAAACAGCGTCGGGGGCAGATTAGTGAAAACACGCCAAACGAACTCATTACACGCAGCGATAAACAGGTGGCTTAAAAACCGTGTAATGCTGAAAAGTGAATGACGGGGTGCAGAACGGCCATGGGAATATCCTGGCCGGGTATCCCTGCCAGTTGCTGGAGAGTGTTCGAAGTGAGCCAATGCTGAGGGAAAAAATCCAGAGAAAGTCTAAGGTTTTCTGGTTGAGTAAGTGTTGACTGTGGTGGGTGTTGCGATGTGGCTGTTTTTAGCGTTCGTTCGTTTGCGCCGGTGCGTTCATGGACGACCTTCATTCAGCCGAAAAACCTTGAACAACGCCATATAGTTAACGTGCCCTATTAAAATACGAGCATCGTCGCGCAGTCAAACGAACGCATAGGTAGGTCGAAACTAGCGCGACCGACCGAGGTCAGTCGTCGTCGAAACGAACGCGAAAAATCAGCGCAGAGTCAATCTACTCTTACTTCATGAGGGGCGAACTGGACCCTATACCCCTTCATGGCTCAAGATCTTCCCCATTCCTCTGTACCGTTCATTACCAACTTGCAGCCACATTCGGATGACTACAGTGATGCCTATACTACTAGTCTGACACATAAGGCTATGGACGCCCACACTGCGCCAAGGTAGATGAGAACTTGGCGTGAGTGTTGACGTCACCAGAAGATTCGCCCCTTTTAAGACCAGGAAGTTCGACGACCACTCACCTCTCTGTCTCCTCTCCAAGTTCCAGAGAGCTCGAGAAGTGAGAGGAAGGCTGTCTGGCTGGCCGGCGCGCTAGGCCGTCGGGGGAACAGGGAACGTGCCTCGCCGCGCCCGCCGTTCAGCCGCCAGCCAGCAGGCAGCCAGCCGAGCGCGCGGCGAGCCGCAGCTCAACAACCAACGCGATGCCAGAGGTCTATGAAACTACCGTATACTTCTAGGATGTTATTCCGCGTTCAGACAAAAACAACTCGCCATGGAGCAACGGGAGGACGAAAACACAGGCACACCACACACACAACACAACCACCTCACATGCTCGACACAATAACAGCACAGCTGAAAGGATCTGAAAACGGCTGAGGAGGAGAGAGAGCATGAATGACGAGGAGGGACATCGCGCACGTCAACATGAGATTGAAAACACCGGATGAAATTAACAAACGAACGGCATGTTTTCGCGTTCGTCTGTCCGTCGCGTGCGTGGCAGGAAGTTCGTGAGGTTGCAGTTGTTTTCAGACAACACTTCGATACATACGCACATAGATGCATACAGACTGAAAAAAACGCAAACTTGCACACTTACATACACACTTGATGGTGAACGGACAACGATTTTCAGTCACCGACCTAGCAGGGGTGGAAAAAAAAAGTAACCCGTCAGCGGTTGCTCATGTGTATGCAACCTATCGATAGAGACAGATAGCTGGGGTGGGGGTAGATAGACAGACGGACAGACAGCCGGACGACGGGACCGATCGGCGAATAGGCAGGCTGGGACACGGTAGCCTCACACACATGACTCGCTCTTTGACTCGATATCGAGCCTCATGACACTCTGTGATAAGTATACAGACAACAGTTAACCATCTGAAAGTGGCACAGAAATGGGCTGACCAGTTACGGGGAATGGGAAGAGGGAACGTTGAAAGAACGAGCTGACCACCGTTAAAATATCCACTTTCGCCATATTTTTTACAAAACTTCCGCTTAAAGTTGCAACCCTAACCTTTAGATACACCAGCACATGGACGGCATCCCATCCACTCTACCAGAATCCCTGCATCAGGACGCTGGCTATTCAGTACAGGAAGGCATATGGCGTCAACCATAGAAGCATCCTTGCTCAGTG